CATGAATTCCATATTTTTTTTTTTTTTTTTTTTACTTTGGTAAGGTGCAATATTATCTATGTTGAATTTCCAGAAATTCAGCTCATCTCAGCACCAACTCACATGATCTGTTAAATTAACTTATGAAGCGGTTAGCCAAAAACACTGCAACTTATATTTTTTTTTCTGTAAAGGGACTTGTTCTTCCCTTCCCCTCATCACTGACTCTCAGATATGGACCAAGTTTTTTTTCCCAAAAATGACCAAAGTTACTTACCGTAGGATCTGATATTAATCGGTAGAACAAACAGAAGGAATCTGTTGGAAGGACATTTGTTGCATCTGATGTCCTGCACCACTCATTCCACAAACTGATGGCTCCAACTACTTCCCAATGTACAGAATCCACAATAAAGGAGGACAGGAAAGCTGCAAATATCAATATTACTTTATATAGTAAAAGCCTGCAATACATTCCAATTAATCATGGGGGGGGTGATTTTATCCTATGATTGACAAGTACACCCAAGATCTTCCTCCTCCTTTGTCAGGCTGACAGAAGATCAATACGATACAGCTGTGAAAGAGGTTGGAAAAAGTTAATCATTTCTAGTAAAAACAGAAAAGGTTAATGCCATTATATGTGGCACTGATGAAATCTCACCTCAAACAAAAGTAAAAATCTAGTTATTCATTCATTCCAGAGAAGTGAACCCAAAAGGAAGCGGTCCAAAAGAGACTCTTAGGATGATCAGGGGAATGGACATTTTATGTTATGAGAAGTGACTAATGAGCTTAGGCATAACAAAAAAAAAAAAAAAAAAAAAAAGGCTAAGAAAAATCTAAAAGCTGTCAATAAATACAGGAGTGGTAAACAAAGATACAAGAGAATTAAAGGGCAATATAAGCCCAAGAACAAATAGGTATAAAATAGTCATAAATAAATGTATAGAGGTGCACTGATATATTGGTGCCATATCAAATCAGCACCGATAAAAGGAAAAATAAATATTATTGGCCATCAGACTTTTTTTGGCCAGGGTAGCCAGTGATAACACCACTGATAAATATAATATGCCTTCTGGTTGGGGCCCCCAGATGCTGCGTGCAGTTGCAGTATGCACGTCGCTAGGAATGCAGCCAGGCAGCATGGAAAGCAGCACCCTTCAGGTAAGTCTTGTGGAGAGGAAAGGTTGTGGGAGGACATGCAGGCGGGGCGCAGATCAAGGCCCCCACAGAGAGGGAGGGAGTGGGGTAAGGGCAGGGGGCACTGCCCAGCCAGAGCAGTGAATGGACCCAGGACTAGGAGCAGGACAGAGCTGCGGGTGGTTCATCCAGGGGGCACGGGGAGGGAGGGGCGCTGCTGCATACACCCCCTGCGGGGAGGCATAGGAGGACATGTACCACCCCAGATTTCTGCGCAGGGCAGAGGTAGACTGCCTGCTCCCCGCCCTTCTGCCTTTGCCTTGGGAGCCATGCACTGGCCATGCATCCCCTGCCTGTCTGGCAGCAGTGAGTTGTTCCTGCCACTGCTCAGTGGACAGGGGGCATGCAGCCAACATGCAGCTTCTGGAGCGAAGGAGGCAGGGAAGAGAGCCCTGAGCCCGCAGTGAGCAGCCCACATCTGCCCTTAGCCCCCTGCTCGGCTTCTAAAAGTATCCTGCACTTAAAAATAGTGGTGGCAGCGCTTGAATTAAAGTTCATTTGACAAGCTTTAGTTCCAGCATCACCGCCACCATTTTTAAGTGCCAGGACAACGATTCCCTGGACGAGCCACCAATGGCTTTGTCCCGCTCCCTGCCCTGGCCCCGGGTTCCCATTCACTACCCTAGGTAGGCAGCGCCCCCAGCCTCAGCCCCACTCCCTCCCTCACTTTGGGAGGACCTCAATCTGCCCTGCACTGCCCCATGCCCTCCACAGACTTACCTACAGGGCACTGCTCTCCACACTGCCCAGCCATGATCCTGTAAATCAGTTATTGGATCAGTATTGGCTAATATGGCTGGTGAAAATCAGCTATTGGTATTGGCCAAGAAAACCTATATCAGTGTACCCCTATAAATTTACATGGCAAACCTCAAGATGTCTAACCAACACAGCACTGAAGTGCTGTGAGAAATGAGGAAGTGAGGTGAAGAAAGCTAGCTAGTTTTAAGCTTTATTTAAAGTCTATGAACTTGATTACATAATGTGTATTTCTGAAAGGTTTCAGCAGTGTTTCAGAGGGCATGAGTTAGCTAACATAATCCAACAAACATGTATTTAAATGCTGGTCACCACAAAGCTTAACAGGAGCAAGAAACCTCTTTCATCATCATCCCTGGCCAGAAATTTAAACTGCCAACTCCTGTATACAGTTTAGGATGAAGGCCCAATCCACCCAATGGGAAGACAGGCTTTTTTTTTGCTTTTCTACTGGTTCCTACTGGAGATTCAGATACATCAGAGGAGAAACACCTCCCCTGTTTCACCTACATTTTCATGATTGCTATCAAAATGGGGCAGACATACCTGTTGTTATTACATTGCTCTTCTCACAACACCTTTGCATTTCCCCCTCAGAAAGCTTCAGCGACTGCCTTTGATCCTACTCAAACCTCAGAGAAACACAGAGAAACTGGCCCAAACCCTGAAGTCACCTTGCTGGTCAGGATTCATGTTTTAAAGAAACGTCAATGGGGGAGCAATGATTTGCAGTAGAGGTGAAAGTAAACAAAGGCCATCAATATGGCAAGGTGAAGGGCAGAACACAGAAGCGAAGGGCACAGAAGTATTTGTGCTGCCCATCTACAGCCCTTTCGTTGTGTCAGGTTACATTTACAAAGGCTCTAGAGTGTCACCACCCTCAGGTTGAAAATTCTGTCCTTGCGCTTCTCAACTTTGTTTCTGACCCAAGATCCCTTTGTTCAACTCAAGTTCTCCTTTGGAAAATGCCCACTCTGAGCTTCTGCTTAGGTTTTTTGATTATAAGGAAGTCTTATTGCAGTTCTTCTGCAAGAAAAGGTTCAGAAAGTCCCCAGTTGAGGTGATCAGGCTTTGCTGCTATGGATTCCTAGGTGAAAGCTCCTGCAAAGCACATGCAGGTGTTTGCACACTGTGTGGCCCCCTCAAAAGGATCTTGAGGTGCCTCAGGGTGCTGCAGCTGCCTGACTGTGAAGGGAGAGTGGTGAGGCAAGACTTATGAGGAAAGGCTGAAAGAACTAGGGTTATGGCAGTTGGACTAGATGCGCTTTGGAGGTCCCTTCCAGCTCAACTTCTCTATGTCTCTATTTAGTCTGGAGAAAACTAAGCAGAGATTGGATACATGTTCAAATACCTGAGGAACGACGACAGGTTCAAGCTGCAGCAGTGAAGATTTAGATTGGAGATTGGGAGGAACTTCCTGACTACGAGGGTCTGACTAAGAGGCTGGTCAAGCATCGGAACAGGCTACCTTGAGAAATCAGTCTCATCCTTGGGAGTTTTCAGGAGCAAGCTGGACAGACACTTGACAGGGAGGCACTGCAGCTTTCTACCTGACTTAAGACTAATGTGAGTAACAACCATCTCTGCCCATGGGGTGGGCTCGCTGGGAGTGATCCTGCCTTGGGTAAGGTGCTGCATTAGTAGGGTGTGCTGATCCTCCTGCTAGGAGCAAAGCTGGTTAGAGGGTCTCAGCCTTCCACTCAGGGTCAGCCCCACGTGGGGTTAGGAAGGAATTTTCCTCCAGGATTGGATCGGTAGGGACTGGGAGGGGCTCAGCCTTGCTGCGTCAGAGGGAGGATGTAGCCCTCTGCCAGGGACCCCTTGGGCATATACTGACAACACCTCACTACACAGCGAGGCAAACCCCATGCAGTCCCCACCAATCCTGAGAGAAAATTCTTCCCAGCCCCCACATGGGGCTGATCCTCCTGCTGGGAGCAAAGATGGTTAGAGGGTCTCACTTCTCCACTCAGGATCAGCACACCCCATTAATCCAGCCCCTTACCCAAGGCAGGATCACCCCAACTAGCACACTCCCCAAGAAGACAAAGGCGGTTAGCCAGTCAGCCTGGCAGCTCAGGGTGCTTCGCGCTGTGCCAGGGTTGGTGGCCATCCCACGAACAGCACAGATGACAAGGGATGGTTTGGGCGGGGCAGGGCAGAGACACAGGCATGGGTGAACAGGGTGGCCACCTGGGGCCCCCAAATGGTAATTTTTAGTATTATTATCAACTCTGGCAAAGGGGTGTGGGGGCAATACTAAAAGTTTGCCTGGGGCTGCCAGGAGTCTAGGTAGGGTGATGGGTGAGCAGTGACCCCTGCAGCTCCCTCCGAGCCCGGCCCACAGGCACTCACCCACGGCGTTGCGGCCGGTGGCCAGGACGAGGCGGCAACAGCGCAGTGGCGCGTCGGGCGTCGGCTCCGGGCGCGGGCTCCAGCGCACGCGGACCTCCCTGCGGGGGGAGAAGGGTGGGTGAGACCGGCCCAGCTCCGCGTGACGCGCTCTCCCGGCCCCGCCCCAGTGACGTCAGCGCCCGCGTGGGGCCCCTGTGCGGGGGGGGAGGGGGGGGGAGAGAGAGAGAGATAGAGAGAGACCCCGCATCCCTATGGCAACGACCGAGGTGTTCTAACCTCGGCCCCCCTACCGTTAGGAGGTCCCTCCCGTCTCCCACAGCCGCCGGCACCTTTTCTTTTCGACCTCCCTGCGAATCTCGAGATCCTCGGGCGTTTCCTCGTGCTCCGCCTCCTCTTCGTCCACCCCGGTCCGGGACAGCGCCGTCACCACCTCCCCGAAGAACGTGGCCATAGCAGGGCCAGGAGAGGGGCACACGCGGGCACACCCACGCCCCCGCCCCCCACGCAACTGCGCAAGCGCCAGGCCCAGAGCCGCCGCTCTTCCTCAAACCACCCATAGAGTGGAGAGAGCCGCTCTAGTCACGCAGTCCGCCCAGAGGCGGAACTGAGGGGATAAGCCGCGCTCACAAGGGAAGGGCGGCCTCGCTTCCCTCAGTCAAGGGAGGCGGGGTTGGGACTTCGGCGACGTTAGTATTGCCAGGGGTGCAATAATGATCGTATTTGTGCGATAATTGCAAGTCTTATGCGATCAACAACAATAATAATAATGATAATAATAATAGTGTTCAAAGTGTCCAGTAATTCTTGAAGCAGCTGATTGCTGCAGCAGATGCAAAACCCAAGTCACCCTTAGGGGTTCTTAACTGACTTGCAGGCTTTTTGTCGTCCCCCTCCCCCCGACTTTCACTGCCATCACTTTCTTGAAGAGGCTGGCTTCCAAATAAAGAAATGCTTCAACTCCGATACCCCAATTCTCACTCACTCATTGGCAACTTACAAGGAGCAATATAAAGGAAGTAAGAGGACTGATTTGCATCAGCATACTGTAATTTTTCAACAAATACAATAATTATGAGCTTCCAGTATGGCAACAGTGGGTGGCAGAAGTGGGGCTTAAAGCCCATTGGGCTCCAGGTGCCTTGCCCTCCCTTCTCCCTTTCAGCAGCTAATTCATGTAGCCAAGGGCTTGCCCCCTCACACAGGGGCCAACCCAAAAATACATGGACTCTTATAGGGATCCACCTCTTTATTTACTTGCATCCCAAACCCCGCTGGTCTAGTGCAGCAGCCTAAAACTGCGGTTGGCAACATTTCCATCATAGGATGCTCTCATGCAACTGCAGAGCTTAGGGCCAGGGGCAGGAGAATATCTAGCTTCCACTGAAGTCAGGTTTAGCAGCTGGCCACTGGAGGGACTTCTTACTTCATGCAATAGAGCAACAAGGAATACAGAACTACTACTATTTCTTTAAGATTGGCTTGAATTCCTCAAGTCAGGATAGCTACAGGGGGCAACCTGCAGAGGCATTGGATCG